CAGATGCACACAGCCACCCTCATTGCAGTGCTGCTGACAAAACAGAGCATCTCTTTGATTTGCAAATGTGTGTTACCAGCCTCAAGATCTTTGGCTTTCTTTAATAGCTGCCCCAAGCATTAGTTTGGCTTTGTTTCTTTGTGAAATGCTGAATGAGGGAGGAAGGCTAGGATTTGACCTCTGATGCCCACAATGCACAGTTGTACACCCACAGCATACGATTGAGGCTTGTCTTGCATTAGAAATGAACACAGTCAAAGTCCTCCTTATAGTTCTTTTCTCTAATCACTTTCCCAGTCATTGGCTTGCTGTTAATTTTCTGGGGTAAATACTCCATTGTTCCTGTAATGTATGCCTTGCACAGCAATCTCATATGATCTTCTCCCATCTGTGTTAATACCTCCACCCCCATAGACGTTCCTAAAGGAAATGAAAGAAGGCAAGTGTGTTTGCTATTGTCAATGCTAAGATTTTTGAAGAGCAAACAAATATGCAAAAATGAATAAATCTGGGAAAACCAGGTCATAGAATCATAGGATACCAGGTTGGAAGGGATCACAAGGACCATCTAGTCCAACCTCTCGAGGTAAAAGTCTAGTTTAAATGAGATGAGTCAGCACCGTGTCAAACTGACTCTTAAAACCGACCAATGTAGGGGAATTCACCACTTCCCCTGGGAGATTGTTCCAATGTCTGATTGATCTCACAGTAAAAAGATTTCTTCTGGAGTTTAATCGGAATCTCTTCAGAAGCAACTTGTGACCATTACCCCTCATCTTTTCCATGTGACACCCTGTGAAAAGGGAGTCTCCATCTTCTTGGTAGCCACCCTTTACGTACTGGTACATGGTAATAAGGACCCCTCTAAGACTTCTCTTCCCAAGGCTGAACAGGCCCAGTTTTTTCAGCCTTTCTTCATACAGCAGGTCTTCCAGTCCTCTGATCATCCTTGCTGAATGACCAGAGTTCAGAGGAGCAAAGACATTTTGAACCTGAAGCCTGTGCACACTTGGGATCAAAGCAATGTGGCAGGAGACACTCCCCCCACCACCTCACTGGAGTGCTGTGGGAGGGCAAGGAGGAGGCAGAGCACAGTGGGAGAAGGATGGCCCTGACTGCACAGCACTCTCTCATGGGACAGAGGATGTCACTGTTGAGGCCTTGTGGGTAATGGCGAGAGGATGGACCAATACCATGAGTGGTGTGGGGGCATCTGCTGAGGATCAGCTCACAAAGAGGTGAAGCAACTCTTAAGACAGCTGGAGGAAGTCTCATGATGGCAGTACTTTTTCCCACGAGCAACAGCTTCTGGAAGGGCCCTTGGCTGGGGCACAAAAAATCCACTGGGAGTGGAGCTGATTGGGCAGCAACCCACTGCAGTGGAGGGGATGCTGCACCACAGGCAGAGCACACAGTGCAGAAGTGGTGATGAAGAGCAGCAACAGCCACAGCCCAGCAACCACCCAGCAGGTCCACGGGAATGAAGCAGGTCAAGATTGTGACAGAAGTCCAGAACATTGGTCAGGGTCAGAAAGGTGGCCAGGCACCAGCATGGCACAACACAGCCTGGACAGGGACGTGAGACATCTAAAACAGCTCTGGTATGATGGGGAGGCCCCAGGTGAGGTTTCTCCCAGCTCCTTTTCATGGTCACTTTACCTGCTTCCCTACAGTCTGATCCCAGGTATGACTGCATGAGGACAGAGCTGGCCTCCAGCACTGGCAGCCAGATCCCAAGGAAGACAGGGAGGAAGCTCAGGCCTTTGACACAGTGAAAGTGAAGTGGGGAAATGTGAGCAAATGTTGGTAGTGAAAATCATAGAATCATAGAATACCAGGTTGGAAGGGACCACAAGGATCATCTCGTCCAATCTCTTGTGTTTTGTTTCTCTACATGACCAGATGCCATGGAGGATGGGAGGCACAACGGCACAGGTATGTCAAGGGCGGCTGGTGGAAGGTGGAGGCTGGAAGTAGAGAGGCTAGAGTGTAGCAGGAAGGGTAAAATCAATCCCTGCTCCCATTTGTCTGTGCCCCGGTCCTGGTTTTCCTTGGGGAGAGGGAGAAGGAAGACCATGCCCAAGGCTGACCTCCAGGGTCACCTCTTTCGCCAGGCTCTCCCAGCAGTTTCCCAGAGACACCTCTAAGCTGAACACAGGCATCTTCTGAATGGCCAGTCTGGTCTCCAGGTTTTGTATTTCAGATACAAATGCCTCTGCAGGCTCAGAAGCCACTAATACGTATGACACTTGAGGGAACTGATGGATGTAGGTTCAGGGGAATAAATGCAAGTGCAGTAGAAACTGTCTTTATGTCTTATATCCCACAACAGGGGAAATCAGGACAGCTTGTTGCCACTGTGCAAGAGGTTGGGAAGTACGCATTCATCCAGAATCAGCTCTTGTTGGAAATACAAAGGTTTGCTCAACTGTTTTGCTATTGCATTTCTAAGGCAAAAGAAACCAAAAAAAAGAAAGAGTTGTGCCCTCCATAATATACATAAGCCTGCCAAAAACCTGAATTCATCTGTTGGCTAGAATTACAAACCTGTACAGGGCAGGAAGGCTAGCATATCAGATTAAAAAAAAATAATAAGACTCGTCAGCTGCTTCTGCTTATTCCTTCTCAGAGCAGTAGGGGGAGAAAAGAGATCAACTTAAAATTCACCATGGTCAGTCTTTCTTACACTTGATTAGCCTGCACGAATCCTTGCATAAGTCTCCCAGAGCAATGTTCACTAAGACTTCTCTCCACCCAGCACAGGAAAAAGGCTCTACAAGATGACTGAAGACCAAAAGGCCAAATTTAGGTTGCTTTGAACTAGCCTGTGGGAGCCAAGAGCTTAATGCTTATCCTGTAGAAAGGATGCATTGTGAGATGATCTTGTGAGGCTGAGTGAAATTGTACCACAGTACACCTTCAGCCAGCTGCTCTGGGGACTCATCTTTCTGACATAGCAGTGCATGAAGATGTTACCTCTTCTGAAACACCTGCTGCTGAACACTTGAAATTTCAGAATGCAGGTTGTAAGCCCATTACTTCAGCCTCCTTTCCCTCCCACTCCACCAAAGTAAAACAAAGGATAATAACGCACCATAAGCTGAGATAAATATGCCTCGTATTTTTGGTTATTACCTATCTACCAGATTGGTCAGGAAGTTCAAGATCTGACAGATTCCACTACAGGAACAAAGACCAAAAAATCTTTAGTTGTGCAGTTCCTGAGGTCTTCACACAACATGGCTTGAGATTTTTGGCAAAGCAGACAGCAGAGCATCACCAAAAAAATTTAGTCCTTTGTGCTACAGATACTCTTTGCCATTCTGGGAGGAGAAACAGAGATTCATGGCAACAGGTGGGTATTCAGCAGCTCCCTTCGCAAATGTTGTGAGGTTTATGTCCAGCTCTCAGTCCTGATTTAGGAAAGCCTCTAAGTTGCATTAATGCCACTTTCCTGAAGGGCTTCATTTTTGGAGCTTAGTTATTATTTGCACTATAGGCTACTGGGGAAAATGGATACATCGGATGCCATGTGCCACACTGGCAAAATATGTGGCAACAAATTTCAGTGGGGCTATCTTGCTTCATCAAAACTAAGTACGGGCTGATAAAAACAATAACCAATACTATGTGGTTTGTGGCCACAAACCTGCTTTCTCTTCCTAGATAATCAAAATTAACTAAAAATAAAAATAAAATTTAAAATTAAAAATTACAAAAATTACAAAAATTACAAAAAATAAAAAACTCTTACAAGGTAAGTAATTTTTGCTGCTAAATTTCTAGTTGTAAATTCACGTCCTTGCCCATGGCTGCCCATTCATAAAACAGCCAGATGCTTGACAGCATTCTCAAAATAGCCTGCTACAAGGATCAATTGTACAGAAATTACCAGACAGGTGAAAATCTGCCTTTCCATCAATGTGAAGAACTCTGTATTAGTAGTCACATTTGCCTGTGTCATCCTACATGGGCATGTGTACGAATGACTGTCCCTCATCTGAATGGTTCCCCCAAGATAATGCCGTTTTGGAGATCCTGTGGAAGTTGACTCTACCATAGGCTGAAGTTGGAAGGACTTGGGATGAAAACTGCAACAGTCTGCATACCAGGGAAAGGTGTGTCCTTTGGCAAGTGATGACTGACATCACCAAGCTTTTTTGTCAGATAAAGTCATTTGGGGTCTTCTGTGTTAAAACAGGGAGGCTCCTTGCCTACCTCTCTCTCCTTGTGCCTACTGAAAACTTCAGCACCGATGGACTCTCAGTTTTATCCCTGCCCTTTCAAGCACATAATTCCATGTTTATATGTGAAACAAACACTAGTATATGTGATAAAATACTAGTCCACCATCAGAAAGGCAAGAAGGTAAGTCAGACTGAGATGAGCCCTGTTTCTGGGGAGTGGACATATTCATGTGCTCTGCTTATTTTTAGAAGATGGTGGGTAAATCTGAGCCAGCACGTTTTTCATTCAATCTGTCTCAGGACACTAACAGATGGTGCTTCCTTGTGCCAAGCACTAATGCACTTTACATTGGCACTCTGTGTCAGAACACAAAGCCTGCCAAGTCCCTGCTAAATCTGCTGATGCCAGAAAAATGGATAATAAACAGCTAGCCAGGGACACGGTCCCAAGTTTGTCCTCTATTCTGCAAAGCAGCAGAGAAGCTGTACCAGTGCAATGATGTCAGCTGCTCTCCACCTTGTGGCTACCAATGCAGCGAAGGAGGGTGTTGGATTGGGGAAAAAGGGGTCCTGGGGCCATGAACACAGGTATGTAACTACAGCGAGAGAAACCCATCTGCTTCATGGAAATTAGCTGTGTGCCTAAAACTGGTCTTTGAGAAGCCTGGCAACTTGAGCTTTAATGCTTGGTACTCCTCGGTACCCCCTGAGCACTGAACATACTAAATCCAGTCTCACAGGTTGACTTCCTATGGCTACCAATCCTACGTATGATAAAGTCACCTAAAAAAGAAAATTCCACAGACTCCCCTGAGGAGCTCACTCTGTTTTACATGTCATTGTGTTTATTTGTTGAATACAAGCATCCAGAATTCTTGAGCTGTAAAATTCCTGTTCCTTTCCACCAGGTGCCTCAGCGCCCAGGCTTCTTTCTTGGATTGCTCGAAGCTTGGTATCCACATCTCCTGGAGAGAAGTCCAGCCAGGGTTTGAAGATGAGAACCAGAACGCCTCTGGTTTGGGACAGCTCAGATGGTTAACCTGAGCCTTCCACCTCTGGGGCAGCAACCCCTGGCAATGGACAGAAATAAAAAGGGTTATTCAGGGACTCTGGCAGACAGAGAATAATGGTGCTATGCCATCAGTAAACTGTCAAAGCATGTTAGTGACATTTTCTTTCGCACTACAGGCTCTGGCCATGCCCTTGTGGATGTCAGAGGGAAAGCTCTCCCCAGAGTGTCCAGGACAAGGCCAGTTATGCTGACAAAAGCCTAAGTCTCAGATCAGGTCTGGTCGCAAATGTGCAGCACCAGCCCACCCAAACTGAAATTCTAAGGCAAGGAGTTCTATTTTCATTATTATATTCTGTTTTCATCTTAAGCGTGCACACACTTAATATTTTTAAAGGAGAAAAAATAAGCCATGAATCCGACCAGGAAAGCAAACTGGTCTTCATAATTTTCTTGACTAGAAAGCCACAAAAGCACAGGGAAGGAATATCCCTATCTAACCAATTCTATACCTTTCCATGGTTGGAACTCAAAGAGAGGACATCTGTCCAGATTTGCACCAGATTCAAACAGGAAAGTCTGGTTAAATTTAATGCTTACCAGTTTGCATTCCCCATCACTTCAACTCACCTAATAACTTAAAATGGTTTCTCTATCTCCCTTCTAATAGCTGAACACATAGTGTACTGCTCAGACTGTGACTGGCTAAAATACAGCCAAATGGATATAGGACAGCTGTAAGATACTAAAACTACTAACCATTGCTGGGCACAAAAAGGGGCTTTTTAAATTCATCTTGATAACTGAGCCGGTGGAGAGTTTAAAAAAGGCTACTGACTTATGGTATGTAAACCTGGAAACCTTAAAGGAATGTGGCAATCGAAATGAGTATCCACCAACTCAGAAATGTATGTGGTGGGAGTTTTTAGCTTCAGCCTAATTCCAAGTAATGCTCTATTTCTACCAGCCAAATCCACCACAGCTAGTAGCCTCAGGAGACTGAAAAGCTCATGCTGCCTTTGAAATGGCCTTCTGGTGTCATGGCTGGCACCTTTGGCAAGACTGCTGGGTCCTCAGTGCTGGGCTTCCCAGTAACACAGCCATTTCCAGATGGTCTCTGTCAGCATCATTTCAAGATGAGACCAGGAGGAACAGGTACAATTCCTCTCACAAATGCACAACCTGGCTTAAGCATCAATGTTTCAATATTAAGTCACCAAATGTGGCCACAGACAATGGCATGTTGCCACTACAAGTTTGAATGTACCCATACAAACACAGATCCAGACAGTGAGAGAGTATTCAAAAGTTGGGAGGAACCTCCAGTGATCATCTAGTCCAGTTCCCTCTTTCAAAGTGGTCAATCATATCTAATTGCCTAGGGCAGCCCTGAGTTGAGTCTTAAAACACCTCCAAGGACAGAGATCCCACAACCTCTCTGGGCAACCTGTTTCCACATGTTCCACGTCATGCAAAGCAAGTCAGCAAGTTAGGCTATTTTCTATAGCCTGATTAAAAACCCCCTCGCTGAACAATTCAAGCCTTCTGCTGAAATGACCACCAGCACAATGTGTATGAGCTCCAGCACTGCATAAATATGAGGAACACATGCTGTGGCCATGCACTCACACCTTCTGCCAATAGCTTTTACATGAGGACACAAAACCCAATGACATTGCAGTACACTGCAGTGGCTGTAGGCTGGCCAGAAATCTGATAACCAAAATTCCTGGGACAAATCTGAGCCTAGTGCCATTTTAAAGCCTGAGACACAAGGACAAAGCCCACGTACCTTTTCTTTCCTTCTGATGTTTTCCCACACTCTGTTACACACCATGCACTCAAAGGCATCAATGTAATTATCTTGAGTGATATCTTGCACTCCCCACTTGCGTTCCTTCATTGCCATAAGCAGCCTTGGGTTGGATATGTCCCCTTTCAGTTTCCATTGCAGGTAGGACTCATATTCTTGATCGTTTGTATCCAGTGTTTTTATATAGTGGGCCAGCTCCCGAGGGTGTGAAAAACTGGATACCAGGATTGCACTCTTGTTAGTAGGAAGCCAGTCTACAACACTGGGAGACCCAAAGTACACTGGTACCACTCCCAACTTCAGTGGCCGCCAGAGTTTTTCAGTGATGTAATCGTCACAGATAGCATTTTCAAAAGCAAGAATGAACTTGTACTGTGCCAGTATTTTATAGAAGTTCCCATCATCCATGGCAGTTGAATTTCTGAGATGCTGAGGAAGGTCTCTGTTATGCAGACATTCCCCGTAAGAGTCTACTTCAATGTGCCACATCAGCTCACGCACATAGCTGTCCCGATCAGAAGGAGGGTTGCAGTCAGACTGCACATATACAAGTGGTGCAAGCCTCTTCCTCAGGCTGTTCTTCATCTGCAGTGGGATCATGTACCTCAATGACTTCAGGACCTCTACACCCTCAAGGTACTGAGTGGTCAGTGGTAGGTGAGAATGGCGGCTAAAAGTTGCGGTGTGGTTGAACAAGGTGATGGTCAGTTCATGGAAGAGTTTGTAGTTGTTTTTCGGTGACTCTTCATGGAAAAGGGCCCAATCATGATAGCCTCTACGAGGGAGGGGTAGGCTGTCTACACTGAAGTCAGTACCTAGACAAAAGCCAACAGCGTTTAGTCTGCCCCTATCTATCATGCAACACTTACTACAATGACACAGAAGTCTAACAGTTTAATATCAGCCCTACAATCATCGCATCTATGACATTATAAAAAAAGTGGTATTGCAAAGAGAGCAATTCATGCACAGAGGAGGCTTATAACAGCTAAAACTGAATTTGGCAGCAGAAGAATCTAGAGAATGGGGATCAGTACTTAATATCAGAAATGGTTTCACTTCAGGTCATATTAGTCTAAAGGCCTCTCATTTCAAAGGCTCACTAGGAATTTTATACTTCAATGCACTGAAATGAGACAAATAAGATCCTTAATAATCCCCTGGTTCTGTAAATAGGGGAACAGATGGTACTGCCTCTATCTACGATGTGAGAAGAATACTGCAGGGCTCAAACTGGTTCTAACAGCAAAACAACAAAAAGGATGCTAAAATATTGGACAGAGTTAATTAGAAAAATTACAAGAATTACTTCAAGTCTTACCTCAAGTCTTGGAAAGACATTGTACTATAGAGACTTTGGAAGCCAATCTATTTAGTCTACCAAAGAGAGAATTAAAAGCCAGGCAGAAAAGGACGTGGGGGTGTTGGTGGACAGCAGGATGACCATGAGCCAGCAATGTGCCCTTGCGGCCAAGAAGGCCAATGGCACCCTGGGGTGTATCATAAGGGGGGTGGCGAGTAGGTCAGAGAGGTTCTCCTTCCCCTCTACTCTGCCCTGGTGAGACCGCATTTGGAATATTGTGTCCAGTTCTGGGCCCCTCAGTTCAAGAAGGACAGGGAATTGCTTTAAAGTGTCCAGCGCAGAGCCACAAAGATGATGGGGGGAGTGGAGCATCTCCCTTGTGAGGAGCAGCTGAGGGAGCTGGGTCTTGGCTTAGCTTGGAGATGAGGAGACTGAGAGGAGACCTCATGAATGTTTATAAATTTGTAAAGGGCGAGTGTCAGGAGGAAGGAGCCAGGCTCTTCTCAGTGATGTCAAATGACAGGACAAGGGGCAATGGGAGCAAGCTGGAGCACAGGAGGTTAGATCTAAACATGAGGAAAAACTTTTTTACTGTGAGGGTGACAGAGCCCTGGACCAGGCTGCCCAGAGAGGTTGTGGAGTCTCCTTCTCTGGAGACATTCAAAACCTGCCTGGATGTGTTCCTGTGTGACCCAGTTTAGATGATCCTGCTCTGGCAGGGGAGTTGGACTGGATGAGCTTTCGAGGTCCCTTCCAACTTCTAACATTTTGTGATTCTGTGAAGAGGTGACATACCACAGCTGCCTATCAAGTACATGAAGAACTAGCTTCTGGCAGAAGATGGCTCCTCAAACTAATGCCAATAGTAGAAGAACCATGTCTAAACTCTAAAAACAGATCACAGCAGCTGCTGCACCTTCCTGTGAGGACAAGGACTCTCCAGAATAACTTAGGAAAGCTGTAGTAGAAGCTTTAGGACAAACCTAGAAGCCTTTTCTCAAAGTCTGGTCTGTGCAAAACTGAATTTAAAATGCTAGCTCTTGAATCTGTCCCTTGCTTTCCCTTCAGTACCACTTTACTACACTCACATGACTAGCCTTATTGCAGATTAAATTGAAAGCTGTTGAATCTTTGTCAAGATATTTCTGCACTGTCTTATAACTGTATCTGGGTTTTACTTAAGTATAAGCACTGAATATACAAATGTTTTAACTGGCCTTGCCAAGCAAGGGAGGTTAATAAACTGAAACGAACAGTGCAACAGCTTGTTTGGAAAACACAACAAATCTCTTCTCTTTGGACAAGCTATTCTCCCATCCTAGTCACACCCATAACTTTTCACTCTGTTCTACCCTTGACTTCAAACTACTGATGGGAAAAAAGAGGGAGTTAGCAAAAGTCTAACAGAATTTTGATCTAAAATCAAATACATAAAGAAGGAAAAAAATGCCCAGTGGTCTTTGAGGCTGCACAAGCCTGCCAAGGTGACTCCAAGGACAACCTTATAAAACCAACATAAGATCTCACTACTGCAGTGAAGCTAAGACATTAGCTGCCAGTAACATAAAAACCTCCTACAGTGCAAAAGGATCCTTCAAGAGCATCAGGTGGGGTTTTTTAAGGCCACTAAGTATTTCACCTCTTTTTGCCACTGAAGGGTGGTTTCAGGCCCTCAGTACTAAATGATGAAGGGCTGTGACACTCACTGAAAAATGCTACTTGCTGCTTCTGTTTTTGATGTGTTATACTGACACAAGTAGGTGAGGAAAACTGAAAGTGAATCCATTTCTCAGAGGGAAGCCTATACGGCCTATCTGGTTTTGAAAACATTTCGTTCTAAGGGATGCCCAGAAGAGACGTAGCAGTGCATACAGCCAATAATGAAATGCTGTGGATTGAAACCATAGCACTTCAGCTCTGTCTCTTAGAACAGTGGTCCCTCTTAAAGGTAACACTGCAGGGAAGAGGGGAGCAAAGCATAGGAAAGAATCAGACAAGGAAAGGGATGAGAGAAGGAGACAAAACCGCAACATGTAAACAAGGAGAGAATTAGGCAGAGAGAAACTTAAAGAAAAATGCACTATACATCATAGCACATCAGACTGACTGATTCTAATATAATACTGAATCAATCTCAGTCCACCAAGACGACAAAAACCTCTTAAGGATTAAAGGGAAGATAACATCTGTATGTTCCCCACCCTATGAAATGAAGGAAATAAAGAGGCTTATGAGGGGCTAAAGAAAGCATAAGATGACTACAGTTACGAGCAGTTTCAACTTCCAAACTATTAATTAGGAAATCTTTGATATGAGGCAAAGTGCAGAAGCGAAAGACAGATGCTGTCAGGAGAAATTCTACATCTTACGAGACACCTTTCATTCAGGATTCATACTCCAAAGATTCAACACTCCAGCGTAGAAAAGCTGAACACACTCCTCCCTTAGGAACACCACCCCTGAGGTGCTGACAGCATGGCACCAGATCCAGTTCATGCTGACTCAGTTGCATTGGTAGCTCATGCTACACGTAAAACTCTTGTGAAGTATGTGACTGAAAAGGTGGAGTTGGAAATCTCTCCCAAAAGCAAAGACAAAATCCAGCAAGTGGAATCCACATCTCACTTCCAAACAAGAGATGGTGGCACCTGACAACGTCATTGCCTACACCTAAGGGCTCCCCAGGCCAGAAGGGTAAGTCAGGACAAGCTGCTTCTGCAGCAGGTGTTCCTAGAAAAGCAGTTCTGCTGGAAAACATGTGTACCGCATATGTCTGCATAGTATTTTTTCTAAGCTTTGGACCATTCTTCTCTTGACTAGCTCACTGACCAAGGGGAAAATCAATGTCGTTTCTTTGGAAGGTGAAACTGTTCACTGATGCAACCGCAGCAAGAAAATGCAGATGTTCAAGTTTTCACACAGCAGGCTTTTAGAGGGAAATTCTAGAACACCAAAATCTGCCCTTTTGCAGGCCTACAGCTCAGTGCATCAAGGCCAGAGAGAGACGGAGAGTGAGTGTGCGTGTGCGTGAAGCTTTTCTGTATTGATGCAGCATTTTTTTTAATCTTCAGTACCATCTATGGCCTTTGTATCTGCAGGTTTTAGCACTGTGAGACCATTTCTTGTGGTATAAAAGTAAGTAACATTTTCGCACATTTTGACACTTGTCTTTAAACAGGTCATAGACAGCATGAGTAGAAAAAAAAACTACAGGGAGAGTCTTTTGTCCAGTATAAACAGTCCTTTAAAAACAAGCAAGTAAACCATGTCCACAAGCCAGCTAAATATTCACAGTAGTAGTCTTTCTAATGCTGAAACAAGCAGAATTACTACCAGAGACCAAAAACACTAGACTTTACAGCTTTCATATGAAGCAAAACCAGTTTTTTGTGTCTTTAATTGGGTCAGCTTTTCATTCCTTTGCTGTTATTTCTTTGCCTTCATGCTTGATCCCTAAATTAGCAACTGACAAAGCTGACCTACTTGGAGCTCTGTAAAGATTAGTGATGAGAAGTTTTTGGTTCACCGCTAACAACCAAGCTAAAGATTCTTTTTTCTTATACTTCTAGTTTGCCTTCCTTATGCTTCTAGTTCTTTCTTATACTCTAGTTCATACAGGTGAATAAGAGTGGATGAGTTTCAGGAATGAGTGAATGAGATTCAGGACTCTGTTTTATTTTGTTTCCAGATAAAGGAGTAGAGCCAAACAGTCATGAAAAAGCATTTCGCTTTATTTTTCCACCTAAAACTAGTTTTTTCTCTGAAAAGCAACTGTGTGTGGAAAAAAAACAAAATTAACAAAATAAGGCCTACTTTTAAAAGATGCATCTTTTCTGTTTCATAGACTCACTTTACAGCACACGTAGTGGGAAGTTTCTGAGGGGGCAGAGCCATAGCAACTCAGAAGGTTGCACTAGCTGCTGCTCCCTGTGCAGAATCAACAGGTTTCTTTTACTATTTTCCGTTTACAGTCTGCTAGCAATTTCTTGGCACATGAGTTACCAGCGAGGGCATTATTTTAAGACAAAAGACTTCCACAAGTGCAACAAAGGCCTTGCAGAACCTCTGCTGGGGTGACAAACCAGAAGACTGAAAAAAGCTGGCTTGATCTCAGGCTGTCTTTTTAAGACTTGGCAGCTATAGGAAATGATCTTTTCTCCCATAAACAGAGAGCACATGTGATTGGAAAGCAGCATGAGACAAGGCAACAGTCATCCCACAGACTGGCACGGTCACTTCTAAGAGTACTTGTGCAGACAGCATGCAACTCTGGATCTCTGCTGATAGTATTAATACTGAAGTACCAGGCAAATTTTAGCATGACCTGCATAAGTATCCGGCTCTCAGTGATTGCCACCTAGAATATTTAATCTCTAAAGGAAAATAACTGGGCAGGACAGAAAGTTACTCCTTTAAAAAGAAACAGAACCTTACCATAGAACAGAAATGCTCTCGTCATCTGATTGTGCTGGTAAGTCTTGTTGATAGTAAAGAAGCAAACATCCTCTCCACACTGGCTCAGTCTCCCGATCTCTTCAGTCAGGGGAGACCACCAGAGCAGGATGGGGTAGTGATTTACAACAGACTGTGTCTTAAAGCTGCTGTGAAGTTCCTGCTTCTTAAACTGAAAAGCGTATCTCCACACAGGCTTTAATGAGCCACTGTGCAAATGGGAGATTACTGCCATCTTATTCTCTGAATTGCCCAGTTCAGTGATAACCTTCAGGAAAACAAACATACATATCACAGCACATCACTTTAATTAGCAAAAACATCTACTTGACAAATCAGAGTTTAAGCATCAAGCACTAAGTAAGTCTGCAAGTGAAGTTTCTGTAAATCAATGTGGATGCATTTTACTGACTGCAGCCACTATCCAGGTAATCTTACATGGGAACAGGACAAGCTTTAATCTGAATTTTTAAGGAAGAGGCAGGAAATACATTTCTGTATGGATACATGGCCACATTGATTTAACAACGCAAGTTCTTCTCCCTCCCTGGAAAAGACACAAAACAGAGAAGAGTGCTTCAGTAGTCAGGTTTCTTCTGGAAATAAACTGTAAAAAAAACGCATGAAGTTTTCACATCTCTTTGTGGCCATCTGTATTCACCTCTATTAATTTTTAAACCACTCACTGAATAAACCAGGTGCAGACAGGTCTTAAAGACAATGTAACTACTACTTCATAGCTAGGTAGAGGAGCAGCAAAGTATGCTTCTGTATGCAGTGAAGTTAAAGACCTAGCAGTATAAACCAGTATGAAACTCTATGAGGAACCTTAAGAACTCTCCACCCATAGGAGAAGCCTCTGACACTGCTCACCATTAGCTGTGAGACAGAAGCCCCCAGATAATCTGAGAGACTTCTGGTGCCCATGAAGCCACCATTTTTTTCTACAGGTAGTACCTGCCATAAAAGTGTCCTGGGGCAGAGAAGTCTGTTGAGCGAGTGACAGAAATGGTGCCAGAAAACAGCTTTTTGTGCGTATACCTTCATAGGCAGCACACAGAGCCAGCCCAGGAACAGCTGCAAGAATGATGGGGGAACTCAAACCCACCAGGCCCTAACTATATAAACAGCTCATGTACTACAGCAGCCCCAGCACCAGGGCACTAGGTGTGACCGTCCAGTGAATGCTCCCAGATAAAAATCCCAGCTAGGCACAGGGAAGCTCTAACCAGCTCCAAACCTGCTTAGCTGTGGAGGTGTAGCATACTCGCAGACCCTCCCAATAAAGGTCCTAAAGACTTGACAGCATTGCTTCTGTGCTAAGGCAGGCACATCACCTTTGGATGGTTTGATCAGTGCAACAGAACCAAAAGTGACTATTGAGTGTTAGTGACCGTCCCTTAGAAAGAGCTCCAGTTTGGAGTAGGCAGCGGGCCTAAGAGAACAGCAGAGGTCCTCCTGCTGGCTCCACCGGGAGTTACGTGAGGTACTGGTCTGAACCAGAGCCTCAGTTCAGACCACAGCCCAAGCAGAAAGACATTTCTGGGGTAGATCCCGGCCCTCTTACGACTGAAGTTTCCTACAGTCCCGTAACTGCCCATAAGGCTGATTCAATAAAGTTATTCTCTTCTAACAAAAACCTAGGCTAACCTGCACCAGTCACAAATTAATATACCTACACATTATCTCATGCATTTTTTTACTGACCAGCTACTGGGCTTTCCAATGCTAAGAATGGCCCTTCAGTCAGGACTGATGGAGAGATTTCCATCTCCACTTATCAATGTGTTCAGATTTCCCTGGTCTGCCTGCCACATTAGTATGAAATGGGTCCAGCCTTGCCTCTCTGCCTAATGAGCTCAAACACATTAAGAGATGCAGTGCTGGATGGAGGCAATGCAACATGGTGTGCCAGGACTATGGAGGAGTTTGCCTCGGTT